GGTTCAGAGTCTTTGCAATAATATGCCTTTCATAAATTGGCATACATATGGTACAACATTGGAAAATGTAGTTTATTTATATTAATATTAAGATTACTACGTGGATAACACTGCAAGTTGAAGAAAAGTTTTACATTTCTAATATTACAGTGATCGAATAAGCTAGCATTAACTTTTGGGAGATTTTTCATTTAGTTTGAAAAGCTAAGATGACATAACGTGGTAATTTCAGCTGATTTGCAGTTTTGACTATCCATACATGACTTGTGTTCACAGGTAGCATTGAATACTCGTATAATTTCCAACTACGAAAATTTATTGAAATACTTCTTTCTATTTTCAGAACATTAAGTAGATGAAATTTTTGAGTATGCGATACAGTAACATAGGGCATAAGCTTATATATCGAGTCGCCTTATATATCGGTCTTCAAATTTTTGATGATTATTTCACTAGTTTCACTTAATTTGTTATTTAGATAACGGCATTCAAATCACTGTATAATTGTGTGAGAATTAGTTCATGTTTCATGTTTATCAATACTTTGTGATAATTAATCTTCAATAAATTCGAGAATGGAGTTTAAAGGACTAGTAATTTCGAAATATCCATTCGTCGTTAATTATATTCTGATTATCCTCTGTTATCCATCCAGCATTTCCAGCTATTCAATATTGACTTGGCAATTTTTCATAATAGTTATTAGGCTACAGTTTTTGCATTTTTCGATTCATCATTCAATCGTATTTAACTCATACCTAATTTCCTCAAACAAGTGACAGATGGCGTTATTTAAAAATAGAGTATTTGGAAAACTGCATTATTTTTGTCACATAATTGACCACAAATACGCAATAAGCTACGAGATGATAGAAGACATAAGTCTTGGTATTGAATTGATATACGAATTTCATCGCTATTTTTGAAAGTTGTATTAGTGTACGGATGATGAGTAGGAATTTCATAATGAGTCAAGGATTCATCAAAGGCGATAGGTAACTGTATAGAACATTCTCCATTATTTCGTTGAAGACCGCAAAAAATAATGTAAGTTACTTTCTGCTAGAAATTACTTTTGAGCCGAGACTTTTTAGGAACTTGTAATGGTTCTATCTATGAGCTTTTCTCTTATGTTGATTGGATTACTGTAACTCGCTAAACTTATGAATCTACATATATCAATTAGTATATTGAACGACGCCACCTAACATATTATATGATTGTATTAATGGTAGAGTCAAAGGGTACCCCCCGTTAACAATGGTGAAATGCCCCCCTTCGAAAAACTCAAAATGAGCTATGGCAACCTCTTTGGGACTATTTAAGATACAGTTTGGCCATATAAGTAGTCCCCGACCCCTCATCCGTATATATATAACCTAAAAACCACTATTTTCAAAAACTATTTTTTTTCTTGGGTACCAATTATGATATCGCTACGAAAATAAATCACGCGTATACTGTTTATTAAGACAAGTATGTGTGAATTTTTTCGATCTATATCAATGAGTTTTTCTAACCTAAACAAATTTTTTAAGTAAAAAAAAATTTTCAAAGTGAGATAACTTTGCTTCAAAAAATGGCTACACGACATTTTTTTTTTTAATTACGTAGTTTTTTATGAATAATTCAATGGTATACTTTAAAAGTTGAATTTCGCTGTGGGTCCCTGAAAAAAAAGCGAAAAACCAATTTTTTTCGACATTTTTTGTGGTTCTTGGCCATTAAATCTTCGCACACGATTTTTATGTAAAAACTAATTGTACCATTCGATTCTACACAAAAAATTACATGGAAAACATGTATAATAACCTATGAAATATTGTTAGCTTATCGTCATATAAATTCAAAAAGTAAAATAATCAAGCCCTAGAGACGTATGCAATCATAAATTTTACGTTTTATTAGGAAACTAGTCGTAAAATCGAGTAATTACGTTGTATATATGTAAACACACACACACGCACACGTGTGTTCGTGTGACTGCGTGCATGTGTGTACATATGTTCGAGCGTATCTGTAAATTTACTACATGAACATACATATAATTATATAAGATTGTATGTTTATTTATCATTATATAATTATATGTATATATTATATAATTATATAAAAAACTGGATTTTTCAAGATTTTTCTTAACTGTTAATGCTACTTCAATGACTGCGTTGATTTCTGAACTCAGTAGAGGTAAACTAGACATGTACCTGTAGTTATTAGCCTTGGTTTCTTATAATCAGGAGAGTCAAATATTTCAAAATTAAGTCAAAATATTTTGAAAACAGATTCAACCGCTTGGATTTGAAGTCGATTTGTTGTACCGATATAAGAGAATATAAATAAACCGACTTTAGAAAATTGAAAGGTTAAAATTATTACATTTTCAAAAACGCTTCCATAAATAACATTCACGATAGCGTGAGAACGAATTCGCCGCTGGTAGTGCTAGTGATATTAAAAACATAGATTGCGCGTACTACTTTATATGTAGATATTTTCACACTACAGCCCTGTATTCCAGTATTGATGGCACTCTTTGATGGTCCTCTAACGGTGGAACTGCTTCCAATCATGATCAGCGCTGTTTCGAATCTGTGACAGTTAAGACACGGAACGTGGAGTGGAATTTGCATCGAGACGGAGTATGCAGTATACTGTAGCAAAATCATGGAGACTATCTCCATGAGCAAAATCAAGATGGTTTTACTTGCTTACGTTTTCTACGAGTTTTGTTCATAGTAGTTCATATATAAATACTGATAAATACGTTGAGTTTCGAGAGTGACTGCCAATTCGTGTGAGCGAAAAATATCCTGATTTAATATTTAGGCACTAAGAATTACAACTGGCATACTATATGAAAACAACGCCGACAACTGGAGTCGGCTTTAACCTGTAGTCGATAAACGGTAAAGTTTAACGTTTAAGAAATACGAACATACTAGGTACATATATACGTCTGCACAAAAACAAGTTATTTTTTTTGTCAACCATCCCGTACTTTATCATAATTCTTACCTCGAAAAAAATATATATAAAAATTAGAGCTCTTTTGAAAAGAATATTTTCTTTTTTTTCTCAAAGTTTTCAACCTAACGAAACAATCATAAACGTTATCTACCAATTAACTTTAAAATTATATTCACAATTTCTTGTTGATTATAATTCCAAAGATATATGCACGCTATCAATTAAGTGAACTTTCGAAATCATATTGTAAAAAATTGTAAAAAAAAAAAGATACGTGTTGTCCTTATAACTTGAAATTAAGAAAAAATTAGTACGCATGCTATTTAAAAATCATTGTACATATACAACTCAGAATGAACTATTGATATGTACATATGCATTGATAAAAGTCATGTTAAATTTTTAAGGCAATATTAATTTCACTGAATTTTTAACATAACCTGATAGCTTATCTAATAAAAATGACCATTGTAATTAGTTTGAAAAATATAATGATCTTAGCTCTGTAAGAAAGCAATAATTTTCTTAGCGTAGATTCACATTTTTTAAATCATTCAAAAATTCAGAAAATTTTCTACAACACTATATAGTCCTAGTAACCCAGTACTTCATAAAATTGAGATCAGTATCCACTAATCTTTACAGATTCTTAAATAGAAATTTAATAGTTATCCAAATTTTTTCCCCATGGGCAGTTTACTTTTTGAAATTAATAGTTTTATGTACAAAACTTGAATTACTCAGTCATTTGAGAATTTTATTCATTTTGATTATCCAACCTCTTTGACTATAACCTCTTATTCTCTTATTTTTCAAAAACAAAAGCTATTTAGAAAGACTTGAAATTCACCAACTGTTACATTCTGATTTTTGATCCAGAAATTATTTTAATGTTTTTTTAATGCTTGAATAATACATACTAATAACAAAAATATTAATAATTATATTAGCAATAAACAAAAATATTAATAATAATAAACTGATATAGAAATCTTTTTCTTTGCTTTTTGACGTTGAAGTTTTAAGATATTGTAATTATTACCCTTTTTCGGGGTTCAAATCTTTGAAAAATAATACCGTTAAAATCGGCCGCATAGTTTTTGCGTTGTAAATTAAAAACAATTGAAATACGCTAATTGTTAGTTAATTAATTCATGACTTGTGCAATTTGAAAGATATTTATTTCAAACACCAATGAAAAAAAGTGCTTTAACACGAGAAAACTATAGATTGAATTTCAAAAGAAAATTTTAAAAAGTTTTGCTGGAAAAGCAGTTGTTGTTGATAATCTCGTTTTGTTAATAAGCAATTTTTTGCCTGTAGAATCGTCATACAGTTAACAGCTGGCGCTCATTCTTTTCGTTGAGAATTCTAGTTTAACTGAAGTGCAGAGGTCTGATCATTTTTTATTTAAAACATTTGAACAAGGCTTAATAACAAAAATTGTCTAATATTTGTTCGATATTAATTAAAATTCCGATTTGTATTGTTGGAAATATTTTTTTTTTTTATAATTACCTATGCAGAATTTGATATTGGTCGAGCTATCCCAAATAAAAAAAATGGTGATTTTAAAGCCAGACCGGTGTCAACTTCTTCTGGAAATGTTTGTCGCCAGGCTTCAAATTCAATTTGAGTAGAAAAAATTGATTTGTAGCAAGACTAATGAACCGGATTTTACAGTTTTTTTTTTAATTTTGGGTACTTCGATAAAATTTTAACTTCTGCATAGGTAATTATAAAAAAAAATGTTTTCAACAACACAAATCGGAATTTTTTTTAATATCGAACAATCTTGAACATATTTGATATTAAGCTTTTTTCGAAACTTTTAAATAAAAAATTATCAGACAACTACAATTCAGTTAGACTAAAATTCTCATCGAAAAGAATGAGCCCCGGCTGACAACTGTACGATGTTTTTACGGGCAAAAAATTGAATATTAATAAAACGTTTTTTTCAACAACAACTGCCTTCACAAATGCTGCCAAAATTACAATTTTGTTTTTTTTTATTACAGATATTCAAAATGTCGTCTGATGATGAGCCTCCGGTGAAAAAATCTAGAACAAGGGATGAATCAAAATGTATCTCATGTAATAAATATTTACGAAACTTGAGTGGATCTCATTTGGACATAAGCAGTCGTGAACAAGCTTCAGATTTTCATAAAAAGTATGAGATATTTGTACAAGAGGATGATGCTATTTGCTCCAAATGTTTCACTAAAATTCGCTTAAAAAAAGTCAAAAAACAAATAATTTGACTCAAGACCGAATTCCATCGGAGACCAAGACGACTGGTGCAGAAGGCTTTTTGAAAAAAGATCTTGTTTCAGATGAAGTAGAAAAAATTCCGTCTGAAATTGAAGAACAAACGTCAAAAATATCACTTGACAATTCACAAGACAGCAGCGTAGAAGCGAATACACCTTCTTGGGATAGAAAATCTAGAGACACTAAAAGCAGTCAAGATTCAATCACAGATTCTAGTCAACAAATAGATTCTTCTGGTTCTGATCCAACATTCATAGCAGTTGAAACCACGGAAATTGAAATGGTATCAATGCCTTTTGCAAGAGTCGTCGTTACTCACAAATATTGTTTCATGTGCAAAGATACGAACGACCTTCAAGACGTACCATTCGATGCTCGTGTACAAGTATTTGTAAAAAAGAGGATATTCATACCAAGAAGGAATAGGTGTTGTAAGAAGCATTTAATTAAAAATCGTTTCTATGATCAAGAGTTATCGAACATATCTACTGCTGACAACGAATGTTCGATAGAATCAAAGGAATTGACAAAGTTTTTAGAATCCTTATCAGATTTGAGCGATGCTCGATTTCATGATAAAATCAGCGAGTATGCAATTTCTGAAGAGAGAGTAAAAGCATTGACGGGTTTTACGTGGGAAAATATTATTACTCTTCGAGAAATGATGAAAACTATGCGAAGTTCAGATCATCGAAATGTTACTCAAGCACTAGTCATATTTTTGATGAAAATGAGAACGGGAAATTCTGATCTTTGTATATCTGCTATACTTGAAATCAAAGAAAAAATGGTTCAAAAATGTATCAATGCGGTTTTAAAATGTTTTAAAGAAGAAGTTTTACCGAAACATTTTGGATTCCAGGCGTACTCTAGAGAATTCTTATTGAGCCAAACCTCCCCTGTAGCCAAAATATTATTTAATTTAGGAAATAGTCTGGCTATAGTATGTGATGGCACATACTTACGTCACCAAAAAAGCAGTAATAATGCTTATCAAAAGAAATCTTACTCTGGACAAAAAAAAACTGCACTTTGTAAGCCTTTCACAATCGCAACTACGAATGGCTTTACAGTTGATGTCGGTGGACCATTTAATGCTAACCTCAACGATGCTAAAATTTTGGAGGAGCTATTAAATTCACCTGAAGGTCTTAACAGTGTTTTAGAAAAAGGAGATTACTTTATCTTAGATAGGGGATTTCGTGATGTAGTCCTACTTTTGACAAGTATGGGTTACAGAGTACTTATGCCGGCGTTGAAAGGAAAACGAAATCAATTAACAGTAGAAGAATCAAATGAATCTCGATTGGTAACTAAAGTTAGATGGGTTGTTGAAGCTATACATGGTGTAGTTGGACAAAAGCATAAACTTCTTCACAACCAATTTCATAATTCTCAATTGCACAGTGCTGGATTGTACTGTCGAATTGCCTGTTTTCTCAATAATTTATTTGGAAAACGTCTCAATTCAGATGTCGGAAAAATAAATTCGATCATCGAAAGAATTAACGAGACAAAAAATTTGAAAAATACTTTGGCTGAATTCGTTGAAGAGAATAACTGGAATAGAAAAACTACACCATTCAGTACAGTTTCATCAAACGATTTACTTGATTTTCCAGAACTGACTATTGATGAATTACAAATACTGTTCACTGGTACATATCAATTGTCTCAAGCTGTGTGTTATTTAGCGGAAATGATGGACGAGAACGGATCCGTATCTCTCAAGTCTTCCAAAGTAGAAACTGGAATTATCAGATTTGAAGTAAAATCAAGACATATCAATAGCAAAACGTACAAGTCCTACGTGCACTACCTACCAAATACTTATGGTATAAAGGGTGTGAAAAGATACTGTTGTAATTGTGCTAACGGTAACAGAACCGTAGACTGTTGCTCTCACGTTGCATCCATAATTTATTACTTGAGTCATGCTCGATATTTGTCGCGCATCTTGAAGCCAGCAGAACACTTAACTCATTTGTTTGATATTGATAATATTGTACCTGTCATTGATGAAGATAGTGATGAAGATTGAAGTTTTATATTTTATGCAAGAATTCTTGAAAAAATGTCATATATTGTTATTATAACGTTTTAAATTACAGATATTTGAAAATCAATGCTCAGTAGTCTTTGTTGTATCTGTCGATGTTTCAGCATTATTTTCCTTATACAACGTAATTACTCGATTTTACGACTAGTTTCCTAATAAAACGTAAAATTTATGATTGCATACGTCTCTAGGGCTTGATTATTTTACTTTTTGAATTTATATGACGATAAGCTAACAATATTTCATAGGTTATTATACATGTTTTCCATGTAATTTTTTGTGTAGAATCGAATGGTACAATTAGTTTTTACATAGAAATCGTGTGCAAAGATTTAATGGCCAAGAACGACAAAAAATGTCGAAAAAAATTGGTTTTTCGCTTTTTTTTCAGGGACCCACAGCGAAATTCAACTTTTTAAGTATACCATTGAATTATTCATAAAAAACTACGTAATTAAAAAAAAAATGTTGTGTAGCCATTTTTTGAAGCAAAGATATCTCACTTTGAAAATTTTTTTTTACTTAAAAAATTTGTTTAGGTTAGAAAAACTCATTGATATAGATCGAAAAAATTCACACATACTTGTCTTAATAAACAGTATACGCGTGATTTATTTTCGTACCGATATCATAATTGGTACCCAAGAAAAAAAATAGTTTTTGAAAATAGTGGTTTTTAGGTTATATATATATACGGGTGAGGGGTCGGGGACTACTTATATGGCCAAACTGTATCTTAAATAGTCCCAAAGAGGTAGCCATAGCTCATTTTGAGTTTTTCGAAGGGGGGCATTTCACCATTGTTAACGGGGGGTACCCTTTCTTGACCATATTACGTGCGTGATGTAGTCTACTTATAGATAAATATGATAATTATTTTGCTCAATTAAAATGCGTTATTAAGAATTATTTTAATGAAACAAAATATTTTTTATATAGATTTTGGACACAGATTAAGATTATAATATTTTAAATTACTTTTAACTACTAAATCCTGTTAAATTTTAATGTGCAAACTTAATTTGGTTATAACTTGTAACGGAGAATCTCAGTTTGCCGGTTTTCTCCGTTAGCCCTCCCTCCATCCGTTCGCTACGCTCGGGCTGAGAGTGTGTGTGTATACACTCTCATGCCCATTTTTCTCTGTTTGAGGTGCGGCGGGCGAACAGATTGGTAGAGCCAGGAGCGGCCGACGGAACAGGACGACGAGGAGAGGAATCATGTGAGGGGATAAGGGAGAGAGAGGGCGTGGTTCGCGCGCGCACTGGATGCATGCGCGGGAAATCGGGAGTGTGAGGTAGAATGGCCGATCGAGTGCGCGCGTTTCTCCCGGTTATTTTGGTTTTCTCGGGTTGTTTTCGGTTCCGAGAGCGGTGTAGCGTCTCGTTGTCCTAGTGTGGTTGTTATTTTTTAGATGCGCACCCAGTGTGCGGATGTGTGTAAGGGGTGATTGAGTGCTGTTTGGTTTTGTTTGGTTGTTGGGTGGGTTGCACCCAGCCAGGCTCCATCGGCCGTCACCGGTATGCGCGAGGGTCACCGCGGTGATGCCTACACCGCCGCCGGCGCGCTTGCAATCGGTACACCTGCGAGGAAGCATCAGCAGTACAAACAGCGGTAGGGCGTTGGCAGCAGTAGAAGGAGTAACTGCAGCAAGGGTGGCGTCGTCAGCGGCGAGCTTCACCGCGCGAGCAAGTGCGGCCAACGGTGATTCCCACCGTTCATTATCGTCGACGGCCAATGTCGGTGCCGTGTATTTTCTCTATCTCTCTGTTTCTCTCTTTCTCGCATGTTTAGCGGCATATGCGTTAGCACTGGTACGGCCTGGCATGATTGCCGGTCACCATGCAGGGCGTGAGATTATGATCGCGGTTAGCGAGTCAGTCGGATTATCGAGCATGTTAGTACTTACAGTCGGGTGTTCGTAGTCTGTTCATATTGTAAAGGTACCATCGGAAGTACCCGTGGCCCGTCAAGAGCTGGGTGACGTAAAAATTTACATCACCAAATTTCCTTCCGAGCCACAGTCCATCGGCCTTGCCATATGTCAATTGTACTGTTACGCTCGGCGATTGCCGCGTTCTTTCGTCCTATATCCGCGCTGTTCCCGTAGATCTTTTGCGTTCAAAAGCCAGAAGATCCATGGGTATTACGCCAACCACCACCGAAACAGCCTGCGCAGAGACTGTTCGGTAGAAGCAAGCGATTCGCAGTGCGCCCTGTCTTTGTACTATCATCATCGTCTTACAGTATTTCTTTGTCTTCAGGGAGTCTGCCCATATTTTCGCACCATATAAAAGGATCGAGTGAGCTGTCGCCATTAACAGTCGTCGTTTCCCCGATCTTGATCCCGTCGTATTTGCCATCAGGCGACACAAGGATGCTATACTCTCTGCCGCTTTCCGGGTTGTTTTCTGTATATGAGGCCAGAAGGTCATCTTCGTATCGAGGGTTACCCCAAGGTACTTGACTTCCTTCTTGGTCTCCATCTCGCATTTCCCCACTCTCATCTGCAGTATCGTCTGTATACGTCTTCTCGTGAGAAATATCAGTTCCGTTTTTTCTGTTGCGAGTTGTAGTCCGTGGTTTGTTATCCATCGTCCAACTCATCTCATGGTTTGGTTCAACGTCAGCTGCGCCGTCTCAGGAGACCTCTCCCTAATCACCGCTGCCACGTCATCAGCGTAAGCGACGAAAGTCACTCCGAGCGGTATTCCAAGCCGAAGCAAGCTATCGTATAAGCCATTCCAGAAGTCAGGTCCCAGTATCGACCCCTGTGCCACCCCAGCGGTGACCTGTCTCGTTATTTGTCCTTCGATCGTCTCGTACGTTATCCGTCTGTTTGTTAGGTAATCCTCCACAACCCGAAGCAGGTATGGCTGGATCCCGAAGTTGCTTTTCAGCGCCTCCAAGATATCCTTTCACCTGGCTAAGATGAAAGCATTCCTAATGTCGAGCGTCGCCAGCAACACTGTAGATCGCGTTGCGTGGCAGTGTCTGTCTAGTTCCAGGAAAGAGTCGACCACCTTTTGGATCGCTCCAATCATCGATAGACCCCTCCTGAAACCGAACTGCAAATCTGATAAACTCTCTCTGGTCTATATCGCGTCCATCAGTCTCAGTCTCAGTAATTGTTCAAAGAGTTTATTAGTCGTGTCAAGTAAACTCAACGGTCGGTAAGCCGAAGGCGTGCCAGGATCACTCCTACCTTTTGGGATAAGAACGAGCCTTGCCACCTTCCACCGATCGCTGAACGTTCCTGTCGCCAAGCACGTGTTGTACAGGTCAAGGAGTATCTCCGGCCGTAGACGAGCCACAAGCCGGAGGATCTCGGACGGTACTCCGTCCGGTCCCGGTGCCTTACCCGTCTTCATCGCATTCGTTGCTCTGACAAGCTCCTCAGCGGCAAAGGCGGGGAGCATTTGTGCATCCACGTCATCCATCACGATTGTCCTAATCGGGTGCGTCGGAAAAAATCCGTCAACAATCCGTCCTGCTGTTTCGGCATCTTTAAGTTCCGGTGAGACTCGGGCCCCTAGTTTTCCGGTTACGATCTTGTAGCCGGTTCCCCAAGGAACCTCGTTCACCTCCTCGCAGAGCTTCCTCCAGCATTGCGTCTTGCTGTCCCATATTGCTTTCGTCAGCTTCTTCCATGCTGTTTTGTGTATGGCTTGGAGGTTTTCCCTTTCGAGTCCGCTCCCTGCCCTTGTCACTCATCGCCGATTTGTCAGGCATATCCTGCGTAGCTCGGCTATCTCGTTCGTCCACCAGTATTATGGTTGTCTTTGTTGTATCTGTCGATGTATCAGCATTGTGCTTCTGCACAAGATGTCTATTAATTTAGCCGTCTCGTCTGTCAGTCTTTCCACTCTTTGCCGGCCCATCAGTTCGGGGGGAATTCTCTCCCCTGGAGCCGGTACTGCTATTAGCTCTTCCGAAAATTTCCATCCGTCGAGCTTACGTAGACTCCACCGCGGGGGTTGGTGGGTTGTTCGACTCGTTACCGTCCGTCCCATAACTTCAAAGACGATGTATTGGTGATCGCTGGCTGTGTAGTCTTCGATCACCCGTCATCCCCTCAGCCGTAGCAGGATTCGGTCCGATGTCATCGTGACGTCGGGAATGGAGTCTCCGACACCTGACCGTCTGTACGTCGGCGTATATCCCGTATTTACCACTGCTAGATCGAGCCTTGCGACCATTTCCAGCAGTAATCGTCCACGTCGATTCGTTTCGTTCATTCCCCACTCGGTCGCCTCGCGTTATAATCCCCCGCAACGATGACATCCCCGGGCAGGTCTCTGATCCCGTCTTCTAGGAGTGCCACCTTTCTTTCGAACTCCACCGCGGTGTAGTTGGGTGTCAGGTAGACGCTGAGATAAGTAACAGCGCCAACTGTGACCTAGATGTAGTCGTCCCCGACACCTCTATTGGAGACTCTAGATTGGGTGCCACTCCGTACCCAGACAGCAGTGGTCTCTGTCTCGTTCGTGACGTATGTCTGGGTTGTCCTTCTCCTGTATGGTTCACTAAGGATCAGGATGTCCGCGTCATATTCGTCGGCTATCTAAGGTAGGAGCATGTCTACAGTCCTACTCAGATTCAGGTTTCCCTGAATTATTCTGTCCGTCCTCCGGCCCGTCCCCTCCACTCCTTCAGCGCGGCCCGGAACTCGGCACATCTGCCGCTTCCGGCAAGGTGGGCGACGCCCCTGTGCCCGGCCTCGGAGCACAGTGGGCAGACCGGCTTATTTTTACATTCCGTCGCGTAGTATTTAGTTGATTTTTAGTTTTGTTGTAATTAAATAAACTGTGTTATTCGTTACCTCGTGTGACTTCGGCTCCCTGACTTCGCCAGGGACGTAGTATTCCGCTTCATTGGCGATGGATCCGCTCCTCCGAGGGAGCCGGGTCCAGTGCACCGATTGACAGCGGAGCCGGACACGTCCGGTGAGGTTATGCGCCTCCCCTGTGAGACAGCGGGAG